ATCATCTGAATCTTGGACCCGTCTCGCGCTACTTTTTGCGCCCCGTCTCTTTTTGCTCATCAACCTTGGCTCACGAAACCCGGTTGATCCTCCGGCCACCCCGGCTCACCAATCAGACGCGTTGAGTAAGAGGATCTTCTTATTACGCGACGAATCTGATTGGCCGACCACTGGGTTCTGACGGATCAACATGGCTTCCCCTGAGCCCTCTTCGCTGAACCTTCTCTCCTTACACCTTGATCTCCCCTCTGACTCTTCCCCCATCTATCTCCTCTCTCGCAACTATAAATTCCACAAGTGCGCCCGCAAATCTCTCTTACGTTTTTCACTCGCAAGCCAGCTTCCGGGAAGCAGTGGCTAGGTGGTGTGTTTGGTGCGAGTCGAAAAGTCCTATCGGGCTGACTGTAGTCTGGCCAGCTGCGCGCTTGATCGCCACGACGGACTGTGGGATCCAGGCGTGCCGAGTCGAGCCTACGTCAGCGGGGTGACAATCGCAGTGGTGGCAGTTAGCACGCGATGACCGGGATCGTCGGTGCGCGTATGAGGATGTGTGATTGGAGCTGAGTGGATGAATGGCTCGGGGCCATATTGGAATTGTACGGCGAATGCGCCTTCATTGAGGATCATTTTTCGGGTGTGAGTTCATGGCTGAGAAGCCGAATGCTCTCATGTCGGATTCGGGTGTCTTCTGTCTCAACTTTTCTTGTCAGTCCCTCCCACCCCTCTCTCTCTCTCTCTCTGACTTGAATGATGATGCAGTGATGGTTTGTCCCTCGTGTGAACAGAGGCGAACTCCCGAGAGTCCTCGCAAGAAAAAACTTCTTTCGGAACTCTTCTATTAGTTTCCTCAGTATTCCCCAGATGTCGAGGGTTTTTTATTCCCCTTGTCTTGTGAACGGTGGATGCGTGTGTACAAATCCCTCCGTTGATTTCTGACTTGTGTATCCTTGTCATTTTCGCACCTTCCACTGTGAATGCATGTATAGAGGTTGCTTGTCTTTTTGCGTTGATTAGACTTAGCGCTCGATGGGATTTTTTTCGAGAATGCAAGAGTGTTTAGATCTATGGTTTCGACTGCACTGCGCTTGCCATCTGCCTTATGCTGCACGGCATTGAGTTAAACCAATAGTCGGTGAGGTAGCCTCGAAAAAAAACTAAGCGCCTCGTATTTTTTTGATCAAGTCGCGGGTTGATCCCTCGGAACTCCGACCTGACTCATGCATGATTGTGCGGGTTTCATAAGTTGCCTCTCTCGTGTCTGAAGGAGGAAAGACACTAATTATTTCTTTCTATGCTTTTTGATAACGTCTCGAGTATTCGCGTAAACTCCGTCTGGTTAATTGACAGGTGGACTAACGGTCGTCTCTCGGTCGGGCGCCAGAGTTCCGTATCTCCCTTGTCGACGCGCCCCTTCCCCTACAACGAGGAAAGGACACGTGTATGCGAATGGGATGTACGGGAAGTTGTAGCACGCATCGGCGGACAGTATTACTTCCCTCCTGAAAATCGTTATTACGGGTTCGTGGATGCGGGTTTTGTTATCATCGATACGCACTTTCCACCTTACTCAGTGTTGTTGCCATTTAATGAGCTGATCGTCATTCTGTGGACGGTCGTGGCGCCCCATTGGCCTCGAACCCTGTGCACCGAGTGCCAGCGTCTCGATCGCTACGAATCAAAGGGCTTCCACTACCGGATACGGAGTGAGGACGAGCACAAGGAAAGAGCCACGCGTTTGAGACCATCCACGTCGGACTCATAACTGACCAACGAGCGACGTCGGAACTTGATACGGAAACGGGATGCGCGGAGTGTGCCGAAGCTCTTCCGCTCTAAACGAAGATCCGTAGTGCGGTGGGAAGCTCGACAATACTTTCTGGATTGAATTTGGATTTTCCTCTTTTCGCGCCGTACCCGCGCGCGCATTCCGCGACGCGCGAAAGCAACCGATTTACTTCATCGGGCCAACACGGGGGATTTCAGTTATGTCTGTGTCCCCACACTCAATTTTTCGAAAATCCTTGGCACACCCCATCTTGCTGTTTTTTTTGGGCCTTCATTCCGCACCTTTAGCACTCCGAACGAAAGACAGCACAGGGCGTGGCGCGTCACATGGACCTGAAAGTTGGTGGTCCCCATCTCCTTCTCTACCTCTGTGCCCGGTCAGGGTTCTGGGAGGAGCCACTGGGGGGCACCAGTGGGTACTCCTTTCGTCTCCCTGCCCTAGAACCTGTACTTAAACATTGTCCTCCGTCGGTCCTACCCTGATGAAATATTGCAGAATAAAGCACAATAGAACTAATAAAATTGGATAACCCAGATTAAAACGAACTAGAGAAATAGACCGAGGCTGGAAGACGAACACTTAGGCAAGCGATTACGGGGGAGTTACCCCGGGTAGACAGGTAGGTTAGCAGGCTACCGTAGGCTAGGACGAAGAAGACTACGAACGCAACAGAATTTGAAGTGACCCAGGTCTCAGTAGTCTAGGAATCAGTAAGTGAAAGGAATTGTTGGGTTTTGCCCACGAATGGATACTGGGCCTAGTCCCAGCAAGTGGCAATTTTTTTTGTCGGGGCCATGTCCCACTTCTCGCGGGGTTTTGTTCTGGTTTGGACTCTCGAGTGTACATGGGTCCTTGCCATCCGATCTGAAAATCTCGTGGCCCTACTAGTAGTGTGGCCATATTGAAAAATACACAAAACATAAACTAACCCCCCACTAGTGGACCCCCGGGTTGTTTGTGAGGAATTCCCGGCCTCAAGTTTTATCAGAATGAATTCCTTGCTTTTTTCCAAAAAAAAAAAAAAAAAAAAAAAAGAACCTTGGTAAGTCATGCAAATGGCATTCAGGAGGTCTGGGGTTCAATCCCCACCGGCTTCATGTACCTTCGTGGGAAAGCTTGGCGCCCCCCGTCTACAGATAGGCCATTAGTCCCCCCAAGTGGCCTTGAGCAGAGAATGCTGATGTTCATTTCATAGGGGGAGGGGACCAGAGGGGAGGCATGGCGGCTGTCCTATAGGAGAAGCTCTGTCCTGATTCTGCCGGCTGACCCCTAGTTGGTATCGCACCCACTGGTGGGTTCAGCTCCCGCATGTTCTCTTATACCAGCAGTACCTCCACGTTTTTAGGTCGTTAAAGCGGTGGGTGAATCTGTGCGCAGTGTGGGTCCATATGCATTTGAATCAGAGCCTCCCCAGAGGGGGCCTAAGACCCCCTGGGGTACTGGTGGTTTATCTTCTCTCGTTGGAGGCTTGAGCACGCATGTGGTTGCTACGAAGGTTCCCCGTAATACTATAATGACAATAACAAAGTACTATCATGACAATAAAAAAGTACTCTAATGACAATAAAAAAGCTAGGAAGTTTTTCATGCCCGGCCGAGCACCCGGGCGTGCAAAATTTTTTTTTTTTTTTTTTTTTTTTTTTTGCCTTTCTCCGCTTTCCCAGAGGAACCCAAATCCAGGCCTGTTTCATTTTTTCAAAGTTGGTTGTGCAGGGGGTGAAGGAGAGTAAAAATTATTTTTAAAGGGGCTAAGAGGGGTTAAAGTGGGGTCCTTTAGTGTGATTTGGTTATTTTCTTTTTTATCTCCGATTCGGTGAGGAATTATGATGCGACCCTCAGCCAAAAGTTGTTTGTATTGCAATCCTACACAACATTTTTTTTTTTTTTTTGTTTTTTTTTTTTTTTTTTTTTTTTTTTTTGCGCTGGGGCTGCCCGGGACCCTGCCCGGGGGTCATGCCTGGCCGCGCACCCGGGCGTGTATCCGGGCACAAGTTGGGTGCCCGGGCGCCCGGAAAAACAACCTAGTAAAAAAATATTATAATGACAATAAAAAAGGCCGTCCTGTCCAGATTCGACAGGTAATTGAATTGGTTGGGCCTCAAAGGCAGTCCTGTCCAGATTCTACATGTAAAGAATTGGTTGGCCTTAACTGAATTAGGGCCCTGCCACACCACCCGAAATGTGAGAAAGACAAAAATGTCGCGGGTGCATCTGACCATGTTCATATAGGGGGACCTTGTTTGCTTTTTTAGTATCTTAGTCGCATGGAACTTGTTTTTCTGTCTTGATTTTGACGAAGAACTCGCAACTTTTTTCATTACAATTTTTTGAGGTTTTGAACATTTGACGTATGGGACCTTGGCCGACATTTTCCTTGTTCTTGACGTTTTAGAGTAAGTTGGTTTCTCACCAGATGGGACTCGAGCACGGTACTTGTTTGAGGTCCTCGGCCTTTTTCGGTATAGACCCGGTTAATGAGGTTGTATTCTTGACCCTTTCTTTTTTCTGCATGAACGTAGTTGTCTTTCTTGACATGGGTAGGTTGGACGTGATGAAGGTTGTCTGATGAAAGCAGTGGTTTAAACAGTAGGACTGACTTCTTTTCCGACTATTAATAGGCAAGCATACTTTGTTCTCGTTGCACTTGCGACGACGACCAAAGACCCCTGAAGAAGGCTGGGTGGCGGACCAGCCGAAACTAGTCGGGTCCACGCCGCTGTTTTTATCGTTATATTTTAAAAAAAACGTCGCGTCCGGGTTTTTTCAACGTGCTTGCATCTTAACTCCGTCTCCTTCGTCTGTCTTCTTCCTTTCTTTTTCTTTTTCTTCTTTTTCTTTCTTTATTTTCCTATCTCTGATTTGTACTGGAGTCGTTCCTTGAGACGTGGTTGATGAATGATGTTTTTTTGTAGTTAGTTTTCGCTCTGTCAACTGCTTCTATTCACGAAGTAACCGCCGTAGGGATTATACTACGTGTTAGTGTGGCTTCGATAGTACGTACTTGAATCATTTCATCACCTTACCGTCCATAACGATGGTTTCTCATGTACCTAACTCTTCTATTGTTCGAACCTGCTACAATTGCGGAGATCCAGGTCATTTTGTTAGGTGGTGTCCTCACCCTAAACCAGCTAACCCTCAGTCTGCGATTGTCCCGTCGAGTGCTCCTCTGCTTACGTTACCCTCCGCATCTACGTCTCATGCGATCGTCAATACTAACACAGCAGTGCAATATCCGCGAGGTTTTGGATGGAACCAAGCCAAGCAATGTCTTGATTTCTGGAACACACTTTGGCGGAGATTAAGCTGAGGCATGATGCAGAGGTCGAGAAGGAGAAGAACATGAAGGCCGAAGAAGAAAAGGCGAAGAAAGACAAAAAAGATGAAGAAAGACGGGAATCGGAGAGGAAGGATCGTGAAGCATTTCGTAAGCAGCTTACTGACTCGATGAACTCGAGGTTAGATGGAGTCGTCGAATTGTTGCGGAACAAAGGCAGCAGCAATGAGGTTGAAGCTTTTCGTAAGGAGGTGGAGAAGCTAAGTGGGAGAAACATACCAGCGGTTGCCTCGACGAGCTCGGTGCATGGTATGTGTCAAGATACAAACGGGCTGCTGGCGAAGATGCTTGCGGATCAAGAACGAATGAAAAGTCAGTTGGAGGAGGCTTTACTTGCCAAGCGACGATTGGAGCTGGTCGAGAAGGAGATGAACGAGGTTATACGTGCACGAGATGAAGCCAAAGCGGATGCCGAGAAGTGGCAGCAAGAGGCGCTGCACCCTGGCAAGAGGGGATGTATCACCCTCACCACACCTGCGACAAAAACGACCGCTCGAGCTTCCACGTCAACTCCGATGAAAACATTGAAGTCGCCGGTAGCATCCGTTGATCTGAAGAAGATTTCTGACTTACATCGATTGGAGGTCGAGACGATCCAAGAGATGCGTTTTCGAGAGTTTAAACGGGAGGCTGAGCATGACTTGGAGAAAGCCAAGGAGAAGATCGCTCAGCTGGAGCGTGAGAAGTCTTTGAAGACTCCACGTTCGAATCTGCATGCAAGGATGGATGAGGCTTACACCGGTAAAGGGAAAGAGAGATGTGCACTAGATAAGTCTGCTAGTACTAATGAGAAGGAGAAGGAAACTTTTACCAAAGATGAGAGAAAGAATCTACGGGGACTGACCAAAGATGCGCTTGTGGCTATCTGTGAGAAAGAAGGTGTGAAGTACACTGGTGTGAAACAGACTGTGGATGATATAGTGACACATCGGTTGAAGAAGGCGTTTCCTATGAAAGACACCGTAGTTGAAGTCTCGGAGGACTTGGGAGACTCTGCTCACTCCTAGTGTCTCTCTCGGACGTGACGACGTTATGGAATCTCTTTCGACGTTGTGTTAAGTTACAAACTACTTCTACCTCTTATCTACGCTGTAAGACGCTTAACTCTTTTTTGCAGTTCATTGTCATAAGTCTTATTCTGGGAGGATGTACCCCCTGGGCTACCAAGTTTAGCGGGCACATTTCTGGCAACTATCGGTCACATACGGATGTCTCTGATGTTGGTCCTTTGGTCTATTTGCTTGTTTCACCACTGCACAGGCACGTCTACATTGGTAGTACAGGTCGTGATTTGTCAACGTGCTGGAATGAGCACGTCTATCGTGCAACGAATGATAATTTAATTAAGAATGGCTGTCGTAATGAGAGATTGTATAGTTGGTTGCGTCGTGTTGGCATTGAGAACTATGTAGCGATTCTATTGTCTTTTTGTTCTGCCGAGGATGTGTTGACTGTTGAACGTTTCTTTATTAGAACGTTTAGTCCTGCTTTGAATATCAGAGAGAAACCACGGCGGCATCAACGTTGCCGGATTGGTAAGAAAGAACATAACCGAAAACGGAGATCGCTGATCAATTCTTCAAAGGTTATTTTCGGCGTCACTATTTCTACTTTGATGACCTTTCATTCTTCTGTTGGCATAGTGTCTTACAATTTACTTCGGATCTTGGACTATTGTCGAGATCGTAGCATTAAGGGGTTGATCGTTGTTTGTCGTGGTGGTTCGTTAAGTGTTGACTCATGGAAGATTCTCAAGCGCTGTTATGGTTCCTCTGTCGTATCTTGTAAGTTTGGTCAGGATCAACTTAGGATGGTTGGTCGATGGGGCATTCGTTTCTTTTAATTCTATTAATCCATTTGGTAGCAGGTTTCTCATCTATAAAACTCCTCTGTCCAGTTTTTTGAGTAATCCTACTAGTCGGCGGACACTCATTACCTGGGATTTTCGATCGCTTATTGTTGCCTTCTCTGTTGTCAGGTGCTTTTCTGATAAGCGTTCTCGATTTCGTCTACGACTGATTCTTTCCAAACGTATTTCTCTGCGGTTCGGTCATCCAATTCGCAAGCGTCTGATAGTCCGGATTACGTATGACGTGGTTTTCTGCAAGAAAGAAATTTGGAAGCTTTGTGCTAATATTATTCGTAGTCTCGAGGTTGACGAAATCTGGAAGTCTTTGCTTATTCGTCATATGAGAGTGGTCTGGTGTAGGAATCGCACGATTGGCGATAACATCCATAATTTTTGAGCTTTTTCAAAATTGACTACCTACGAGTGCATGTGTTCTACTGTGGATTCTACACTGAAACGTGTTGATGGACACGTGGCTTTTCGTCTGAGTGAAGATGATTCCTTCCCAGATTGGATGAACAACTCTAAGAACATCTTGAGACCTTCTGCTGATAATCCCGTTGGCTTGTTGAGGAAACAAATCCGGTCTTCCTTTCTGTCTTTTCTTGAGCTTCAGTCTGATTCTGTTGTGTCTTGCTTGTCGTCTTCTTCGTTGAGAGGTTGTTTGACCAAGTCCGAGGCTGGTGGTTTTGTTTCAGAATCGTCATTACGCCAACAGGCAGAGCGACTGAAAGGGTTGGTCTGCTGTCCGATTGATCACAATCTGGGTGATTCCTATGTTTGTTGTCTGATAGTTTATGGTAAAGGGATGGCGAAATTGTTTACGGCTAATCCGTCTTTCCTGCATGTATCATCGGATGTGAAGGAGGTTCTTGATACTTGCAAAACGCAGCACGCGGAGTTGGGATTTAGACAGTTGGGAAAGTGGAATACTAAAGGTACTTTTGGTAACGCGTATTGCCTGCCAAAACACAAGGACACTGATCGATGGCGGCCCATTTGTCCCTCGCATTCTGAGGGAGCGGGCTTGAGTGGTAAAAGGATTGCTTACACGGTGAACGAACTTTTGTGGCGTCTGTCGAACTCTCTTCATTTCAATCTTCGCTGCACATCTGATTTTGTACTCAGGATTGATAACATCAACAAGACAGTCAAGGATGAAGAACAAATTTTGGGTGCCTCATTTGATATAAAAGAAATGTTTTCTAATCTACCTCATGGATCAATTCTGCAGGCACTACAGTGGGCCATCGACCATTGGAATTGTAAGGGCTACAAAGGAGTGAAGGTAAGGAAGCACGAGAAGTTTGCTCAACTGACACGTGGCCGGTCAGAGGATGGTTGGGTGCTCGTCAAATTTTCTACCCTCTTTCGATATGTATCACATGATCTCGACAACACTTTTGTATGTGCGTCTAGTATTCTTTTGAAACAGGTATTGGGTATTCTGATAGGCAAGTCAACGAGTCCAGCCCTTGCCTGCCTATTATGTGCGTACAATGAATGTCGCTTCTTGTCCTCATTAGGTTCTGATCGAAAACTGGTTGCAAGTTTCCGGATCGTCGATGATGTGTCTATTTTCATCCGCTTCTCTCAACAATCTACTACTTCTTTTCTCAAAGCTCAATCAGTGGTTGACCTTTTCCGCAGTTGCTATGATTCTCATCTTGCCTTGGAGCAGACAAATGATGGCAGTGGTTGGGATTTCATTGGTTGTACAGTAAAGGTTTTCAATGATCCATGCAAGATTGGATGTGTGGCGATTCATAAGAACCAACGTTTCATCTCGGAGCAGGGTCTGGTATTTCATAGTCTGCAAGACTTTGCGTCCTTTTCAGGAAGGCAGAAAAAGATGGCAGTTATCATTTCTTTCCTCCATCGAGCACGTGTCTTCACTAATCTCCCAGGGTTGGAGGTCGCCTATCTTCTCACCTTGAAGCATGAACTGTGGTTGCGGGGGTACCCCGACTCCTATTTTGATCTTGCCCTTGAGAACTTTTCTCGTAAATTTTCAGGGTGCTGGGACCATTGGTTGGGGGTTTTAACCAAGTGGAATTGTTTGTTTCCCTGTTGAAGGGATGGTGCAAGTGCTGCGTTTCTGGCTCGGAATTAGGGCTGAAGTTCATGATTTGGTTCTACAATGTTGTCGACCGAGGTTACCTTAGCTGTATTGTTTACATTCGGCAGTTGTTAGTAGTACTTCGGACGATTGATTCAGTGTACCGATATAGTCTCATATAGGGGGACCTTGTTTGCTTTTTTAGTATCTTAGTCGCATGGACCTTGTTTTTCTGTCTTGATTTTGATGAAGAACTCGCAGCTCTTTTCATTACAATTTTTTGAGGTTTTGAACGTTTGACGTATGGGACCTTGGCCGACATTTTCCTTGTTCTTGACGTTTTAGAGTAAGTTGGTTTCTCACCAGATAGGACTCGAGCACGGTACTTGTTTGAGGTCCTCGGCCTTTTTCGGTATAGGCCCGGTTAATGAGGTTGTATTCTTGACCCTTTCTTTTTTCTGCATGAACGTGGTTGTCTTTCTTGACATGGGTAGGTTGGACGTGATGAAGGTTGTCTGATGAAAGCAGTGGTTTAAACAGTAGGACTGACTTCTTTTCCAACTATTAATAGGCAAGCATACTTTGTTCTCGTTGCACTTGCGACGACGATCAAAGACCCCTGAAGAAGGCTGGTTGGCGGACCAGCCGAAACTAGTCGGGTCCACGCCGCTGTTTTTATCGTTATATTTTTTAAAAAATGTCGCGTCCGGGTTTTTTCAACGTGCTTGCGTCTTAACTCCGTCTCCTTCGTCTGTCTTCTTCCTTTCTTTTTCTTTTTCTTCTTTTTCTTCCTTTATTTTCCTATATCTGATTTGTACTGGAGTCGTTCCTTGAGACGTGATTGATGAATGATGTTTTTTTGAAGTCAGTTTTCGCTCTGTCAACTGCATGTTCTAGAAACCCTTAGCCTTGGAAAAAACAAAAAAAAGAGTCAGCGGGCTGAAGGAATCTTCTGACAACTGTGTCAATTGGTCTTTTTTTTTTTTTTTTTTTTTTTCCCTGTCCAGAAACCAACTGTGGTATTGCGCCCCACAAATAGAAAGGAGCCTTGTTAATTAAAAAAAAAAAAAAAAAAAAAAAAAGCCAACTGTCCATTGGTCTTAGTGCAGTTTAAATAAAGAAATATTGGTGGTGCGGCGGCACAGTCAGAGCGTACTCCACTGGGACTTCTTTGACTTATCTCTGGACGTGATTGCAGTCAGATGCATCCACGTTCGGCCGCAATTGCGGTCAGATGCATTTGGAAAAGTGCTAGTGTGTGATTGTCCTCGAAGGGAGCGTGGTGAGTGGTGGGGAACAGTAACTGCCTCACTGCACTGCTGTCCAAATGTGCAAAATGAGAATGAATTTGCCCCTACAACATGGGAAGATACACAGCCATAATTTTTTGTCTTTTGTCCATGTGGAGAGTGGTGGAGCCAGCCCATACGTCATGGAGCAGGGCAAGGGCACAACCAGAATTTGAAAATTTGCCAGTTAACTGTGCCCCCATTTTCATCCCCCCCCCCCCCCCAATAGAGTAACAGTAGCGTCCAAAGCCAACACTCCCCCACACATCACACCYAACCCACTCACACGTGCACTCACACCCGTGTTGGCTGAAGACCTTACTGATACCAACTGGGAGGATCCAGCTGCCTATCTCAGTTGGTTGGCACCAAGAGTGCCACAGGCGGCCATGGGGATTGAACCCACGACCTCCCGAATGCCACTTGCATGCCTAACCAATTGAGATAGGTGGGTAATGTCGAAAAAAAAAAAAAAAAAGANAGAGAGAGAGAGAGAGAGAGAGAGAGAGAGAGAGAGAGAGAGAGAGAGAGAGAGAGAGAGAGAGAGAGAGAGAACCAGGCCGGTGTGCCTGGATCATACGACACTGGCTGCCCTTCTCTCTCCAAGCCAGCATTGGCAGGACCTTGGCCAAATATTGTTGGTTGCTATGCAGCAATGATATTCGCCATTAGACACTGCTAATGTGTGGGGTTGGAGGGGGGTAGGGGGAGGTGCAAGTGACTGGCCAAAGATGCTCGGCACTAGCAATGCCTGATCACCCTGCATCATCGTGATGAGGGGCTGATACAAGTCTTGCTCTCGCACCACTGCTGTGGTGCAAACCTACCCCATGGGCTGGGGAGAGTTCCAGGTTTGGTTGGTGTTCCTCGTAGATTAGCGAGAGGATGAGATATAATATATACAAAAGAAGATTGAGAGAAGAATATAGATTACTTATTAAAAAAAAAGGGGCAACTAGGGCCCAGTCACATTTTGAGTTCTAAATCCACTTCAGGCATCCCTCGAATACGACACATCCCCACCCAACCCTAAAGCCGGGTTGGATACATTCACGATTTTCCTCTGTTTGGAGCAAAATTCATGAAACCGTGACTGAAACGTATTTAAAACTGAAAACCTTGACTGCGCCTTAGTTTTCCCAAAAAAAAAAAAAAAAAGTAGCGCAGGTCAAGTCCTTCCTTCAACAGTGGTCTGGATTTGGCCTTTTTTTTCTCTTGATTTCTCACCCCTACCCCCATTCCCCATTCTGGGGAAAAGGCCCCCCAAACCCTTTCCCCCCCCCCCCCCCCTTCCGGAGGCCATGCCCCCACTTGTGCAGGTTCAATTCTGGTTTGAAGTATGCAGGGGTCCCTGCCATCCGATCTGAAAATTCCACGGCCACAGTGGGGCCACGTTGAAAAATACACGAAACATGAACTAAACCCCCGATCGTGGGACATGGCCTGGGGGGCAAGTCCCACTAGCAGCGTTGAGCTACCTCAACGCCTGAATCTGGACGCTTTTGCCGAGATGTGCAGAAATGGTGTTGAGTTTCCTGAACTGCACCTCTCCACAAACACGTCCAGATTCAGGCGTTGAGGTAGCTGAACGCTGCTAGTGAGACTTGGTCATTATAGTATTACGGGGAACCCCGTACCAGCCACATCCGTGCTCAAGCCTCCAATGAGGGAACACGCGGGAGCCGCACCCACCATCAGGTGCGATACCTGGGGCGAGGTCGCACTAGCAACGGGACAGGATAGAAACAAGTTTGTGGGGCAGTTGAGTGACCCAAATCCTGCCATGCAGTACTCTTGATCCCACGGTCAGTACTTTACATGTATAACCCGAAAAAGGAGATCTTTGTTCCCCTCCTCCTCTCCTTAACACTGGGCATGCCGGTGCAAAGAAAGCTTCCCGCCAGAATCTTTTCAATCTGTTGGGGGTGTGGCCAACCCCAAACGAGGTCGGGGTCGGCCTTAGCCCACTGGATAGAAGATTTTCAGCGTTTTACTTGCTGTTGTGCACTTATCTCATTGGGTGGAGCCCTCCTTGAATCACCGAGTATATGGAGGGTGTCAGGATCACTGCTGACAGAAGTCGATTTTATTCCAAAAAAATGTGGCGGTTACTTTGTTCACTGTTTTTGCAACCACCACCATCAGATCACTTGTGATCTGATGGCTGGGAAGCACTCTGCCGTGATTTCCGGTGGGAGGTCTCTGTTTCTTCTTTTTTTTTTGGCCTTTTTCCTGTTTTCTCAGCCCAGAAATTCGTAATGAACGTGTCTGGCCGCTGCCACTCAGTGTCACACTGGATCGGCCACACTCCTATCCGACTGCTAATGGGACCTCGCCCCTGCTACAGCAGGTGGGCAATACCGGCCAGGGGTCAGCCTGATGGTGGCATCAGGACCGAGCTTCTTCTATGGGCCAGTCACTGTGCCTCCCCTCCGGTCCCCTCCCCCTATGAACATCAGCAGTCTCTGCTCAATGCCAGTCGGGGGGACCAACGGCATATCTCTAGGTGGTGGGCGCCAAGCTTGCCCAGGAAGGTACATGAGGCCAATGGGGATTGAACCCAAGACCTCCGTGCCTTACCAACTGAGCTAGGCCGCTGGCGCCAACCTTTTTTTTTTTTCTTTTCATAAAGCTATATTCTTCTCTCAATTTCACCTCACACTACCTACCTACCACTACTTCTAATTGTAGGCATACGGGGAACCCCGTAGCAGCCAGAACCGTGTTCGAGAGAGAAAATGCGGGGGCTGCTCCCGACCTGCAGGTGGGCGATACCGGCTAGGGGACAGCCGGTAGCATCAGGGACCATGCCAAGAGGACCAATCCCTGTGCCTCCCCTGGGGTCCCCTCCCCTATGAACATCAGCAGACTCTGCTCAATGCCGATTGGGGGATCCAGTGGTCTATCTCTAGGTGGCGGGCGCCAAGCATGCCCAGGAAGGTACATGAGGCCACCCACGACCTCCTGGGGCACGGTGCCACTAGCAACCGAGTAAGGTATATTGTCGCACGGCGACACCTGTGGGACGTCCGGGGGACATCCACCAGCCGTTGCTGCATCGAAATCCGAGGGTAGCAAAACAAAGATGTTTGTATATTTAAAATTTGTGTTTTAATTTACTTTTTCTTGTTTTTTTGTTTTTGGTGAATAACAGGATGTGGGGAAAAGAAATACCAAGTCTGTTTTCGATTGGTGGTTGTCTAAAACAAAAAAAAAAATCAAGTACTCTAAGTCGTTTGTATTGACCGTGCTTACTTTTCCGGTCAATAGAAAGCCCCTCGAGTACTTCATTTCTTTCTCAAAATATAAGGACTTCACGCTTGAACATGAGGACCGTCACAGGAGGCAGTCCCGTCGGGCACACTAAGGGACTCCACTCCCTCTCTGTGGTACGTGAGACTCGGACCTCTCTGTGGTACGTGAGACTCGGATTGCAATCGTCACGTAGCACTTGTCATAGGTGCACCCTCAGGCAATAAAGAAAGATGGAAGAAGTGAATCTGGCTAMGTTCTGSGAGGGATACATTCATCCACTGTCCATTCTASSGTTCAAGAAGATGGCACARCCTTTTGCAGCACTTCCAAAGGTCGGGCTCGTCCCCACCTTGGGACTTGAGAAGTCACCACTTTAATTTTCTTTTTTCTCTTTTCTTCGTTTTTCTGGAGTTTTCTTCGTTTTTCTGGAGTGTCCCAGGCGTCGCACTAGGCCATGACTCGTGTGCTAGTGGAACGGTGCCCCTGAATGCCACTTGCAAGCCTTACCAACTGAGTTAGGCCGCTGGCGCCGGCCTTTCAAATGAGCAGAGTTTTCTTGAAAAAAAAAAAGGAAAGAAAAAGGGAAAAGGAGTAGGGCATCCGTTGAATTGGAGAGAGATATTTTTATTTTTTTTTCAATTGGAAAGACAGAGAGACGATTAGGAGTAAAAAAGAAAAAGAAAAAAAAAGAAAAAGAAAAGGAGGAGTAGGGCAAAGCCATTTGGGATATCCGTTGAATATAGAGAACTCAGAATTGGGAAGAGAGGGAGGCGATCAGGAGGAGAGGAGGGCAAGGGTACAAGGTAGAGAAACGAGGAGGAGTAGGGCAAGGTAATGGCAAGGGAGGCACAAGCCAACAATCAGAAGGGCACCGCGTAGCAAAGAGGCGAGCGCAGGGGAGAAAGGAGCTGCGCACAAGACGGCAAGGACTAGGGAGGCAGACAAGCGTGATGTGAGTATATATTTTTCTTTTATTTTTTGGGTGCACGGTGCGCCATTTGATACTTTTCTCCTCGTCTCCTAAACTCCGCCTCCCTATCTCTAGCGCCATAGCTGCCTTCACCTTGTATGATCTGGTCAATGTGACTTGCTGTTGAGAGTGAGATAGAGTGTGTGTGTGTGTGTGTGTGTGTGTG